GACCGATCATGAATATAACGGACCCTAATCGTCATTAAATGAATATAACTAAATGATAGAACAAATGGTTTACCTTCTCCCATTATTCATTGTTTATTGGTTATGCCCTTACGCTCCTACTTTCCAGATTAAGATACCGAATCTCTCTAATGATTAAAATTGCATTATTCTCCCTGAATATCGTGTCCTTTTTTCTGCTACAAGCAGACAGATAACTCATTAATCTTATCGATGTTGATCAACTAGGGTTGATCATAAGTAGCTCATAATATCCTAGGTTCTCGTGAGCCGCTAAATGTTTTGTTTTCTTACTCCGAAAATTATACAATTCTAAACTCTTGCGAATTCTTTGATTTGCTATTTATCTTTACCGTCTCTAAACCACATAATCTGGCCTGTTTTATTACTTATACCATTATTTATCTTCAAAGCAGTGTGATATACTAAATGGATATCTAACCCACAATACAGAAGCTTCGACCATCTGATTTACTTGTAACATGGGACTAGTAGAAACAGTTTATTGCAAAAAGGAGCTTAGATAAAATTAATATTCATACACACCATAAACGTAAGAAAGCCTAACATCACAAAAGGAGGTAGGGTGGCGCTACCGAAAAGCAAACATGATGGCGGGGGGTAACCTCGATCCACTTATGTCTGTAGAACAGAACATTTTGTTTAATTACGGCTCATTATTCAAGTCGGATGTCACGAACCAGTCGTTTTGATAATAATGCAACGGTAAATAAATCCCCAAAATAAGTAGCTCTGTAAGTTTTCGACATTGGATGTCGACCACATGTTTTAATGGATTCACTTAGCTAAAGGCGCTCGGTCATACATCCACACCATATCACTAGTGGGAACGACGTGCTCAACATCACCTTCAATCGCTAGCCAGATTAGATCGGACGATCCTCGATATCTTAATGGCTTATCAAATATATCTTTGAACCTCCTCGCTTCTGTCTTTTGATTGCACTTAGTGGGTGCGATTCATAGTAGAAATTGTTACTTGTTAAAGCGTTGTCAAACGCCAAATACCCATAGCATGTTCAATAATTTATTATGCAAGGTACATATTTAAGTCGTGTTTGTGACGTTAAATTGGTCTCACTTGCTATAGAGTAATCCTATTTACAAGCGAAAATATACAAATTGCCAAAAAACGAAGCCTGTTCATGACCCTATAAAATCAATAAAAATAAAATAAACTGAAATGGCCTCGACAAAAAAGAGAGATAGTCATTTGTGTATCAGAATAGTGTTTTCGGTACTATATTTTAATGCTTCACATAATCCTATACTTTTAACTTCTTTTTGAGCCACCTCCATTTATTCAGTTCTTTGTCCATTCGTACCATATTCACTCTTGATTTCTTTAACCTGTAAGAATGCTCTTGCTTATGAGTACCTTCATAATAGAATATTAGACTTAGTGGCGAGACTCTAATTTATGGACGACCTCTGAACGAATTTTAAGTGACCTTGAGAATATTAGTCAATCAGCGAACAGTCAGTGTAAAATAAAAATACATAAAACCAAGGAAATAAAGTGGATACACTTCTTATACGTGGTTCAAAAACTTGTCAAGGTTAGAAAGAGATTCTGAGGTTGTAAAATCGTAAAGCATGAAGTGGAGGAAATCATCCATATGGCTACAGAATAGTCGGCCTCTGAAGCCATGAAAAAGTCTCAAAAACTCTTTCAGACTCGACCACATAGTTTCAATATTGTTTATGTGTACTTCGGCTGTTGAGTGTACAAAATGCTACTAGTGGATAACGACGCGATGAACATAACCAAGCCTATATAGGAGTCTGTACGCTCTCCAAACATTCGTATATATTGTAGTACCTGGCTGTAACCAGTGTTACTGGTGCTTTTATTATCCGATTCGCGATAGTTGTCATAATTTGCATTAGTTAGGAATTATATATGCGGTTTTCATCACGAACTGACATAAGCTTTAATGCCAGCCGCTCAGTTATCACGTTTTATACAAAATTCGTTGTGAACCCATCGTATGTTAGCATTAAGCACTGAAGCTGGCGCTGTAACCTTGAAATCTCTGAAACACTTCTGACTGGCTCGTCCATAAATTAGAGTCTCGCCAATTAAGTAGTCATACCTTTACTATTTAGCCACAAATGACTCAGCTTCAACAAGCATGAACATTGTCTGCTTTGCTCCTCATCCTTTCTTTTTCTTGCTCTCTTGTTCGGTCCTCTCTAGATATGCCACTGATAACGCATATGTGACGAGTGACTTCGTCCTGCGCCATCACTAATGCCTTTGATGTTTCAGAGGGATATAAGGTCACGGTTTAAATAAGCTCTCAAAATTACGTTTATTTGCTGCCGGATAAGAGTTGCACGTCTTAAAGTAAACTGAGTAGAGCGCTCCAATTGTCATATTGACAATGCGGATGTTACTAACAGTACTTGCATTCAAATGTGAGAAGGGTCATCCTCCATAATTTTATGACCAGTGTACCTTATAAAATAGTTTTTCGTGATTGGAGGTTTTTTAGCGAGTTAGTTTTCTACGAGATGAGGTCGATAACCTCATGCACAAACCTCCTCACTTATCCGGGCTTGGGACCGGTAGAACGTAGATGATCTGTGTCGAACGATCGGAAACTTACTCCAGAATGGCATGACGACACCAGCTAACGTCGAAGTCACACCTCGTGGTCAGCACCTTGCGTGGACTACCCCATTGATGTATAAATGTATCATAGATGCTTTGAAAAGTACCACAACGCAGAGGATGTTATTACAGAAATATATTAGTCAATGTAGATACAATTGAAAGTAAAACCACCGCCACACGGGCCAGTCCATGGCGCACGATTAACTGATGGGCGTCGGTTGTCCTTGATCTTGACGAGGATCGATGAGTTGTTCGACAATCAATGACCCAACTTCCGGATGATTTGGCTAGTGCTTAGTGGAATTTCACTAGCGCTACAGCTCTATAGGGGCTCCAGGCGGAGGACGAAATCAGGATGGAGCGATGGAAATGGATAAGACACACATTGAGGAAAGCACTCAACTGAGTCACAAAGCAAGAAGGAGAGGAAGACCAAAGAAATGGAGACAGACATGAGAAGAATGAACTAAAATTGTATAGAACTAGAAAGGATGGCCCAGGCCAGTGTGAGTCGGAGGACGCTAGTCGGCGGCTCACTCTTCGTAACAGGCATAAGTACGTACCTTTTAAGACATCAAACTCACTGAATAACCCACCACAGTAATGACTGTATCTTCCGTAACAATTCGGTCTTGCCCGTCAACTGGCCTGCCTAATGTGACACACTAATTTCAGAACAAATAATCTACGTTTTTGTCATAACTTGTGTAGACCGAAGAAGTGCTCACCAAGGACATTACTGCTGAAGCAGTGGCCCACACATTCGTCGAACGATGAGTGGCAGACTTCGGCTATCCTTAAACAATCATTACTGAACGTGGACACCAGTTCGGATGTGGACTTTTCCGTTGTTTGATTTCACTACTAGGAATCACACGACTTCGAACGACTACACACCACACACAGGCAAATGGGATGATAGTGCGATTTCAGTGACCGCCGAAAGCTTCACTCTCAGCTGCAAGCGTTTCATAGTGCGCTGACTCTCTTCCACTCGCGTTACTCGGCACTCGCAATGCAACGAAAGCTGACATTCGAATTTAGAATTCCAGACCTTGGGGAATACGGTGAATAGATGCATCGATGAATTTCTGCGGCATCTTTAGATGAAAGCATGCAGATACTAGATGAATGACATAGTAAACTGGCCTGTAAATACACCCTTCACTCCTTATGTGTTGTGGTGTCGGTTACTACGTTAAGCCCACAAAACTGATTCCAGCTTCTGAACACGCCATCTTATCCATTCCTTTTGAGTCACGTTACTACCTTATTAATTATGCACATATCAATCCTGACATTGTATATAAGCACATCTACATACACTTATCGTACTCATCACACGTCTGTATCTTATTTTGGCGGGACTATGAGTATTGAGTTACGCTCGATTAAATCGAGCTGACTCACATGCTCTCTCCACAGCACGTCATTTCGCTCTCTCTCTCTGCTTCTTTCACTACGTCTCTCTGATTAATTGTTCCAATCAACGATTGTACAAAATACATGTATCGGAAAATCCATTCTCGTATTTGGATTATTTGATTCCGTTATTCACTAACGCGATCTAAGTCAGTATTTATATACGAGGAATAACGATGTATGTATATAAATATATCAGTCAGAAACGGTCATAACGGAGTCAGACCCCGGGCTGCTAAAGTGTAATCAATTTTTGCAATTTACCACTTACTGTGGTATATCTAGCATTTTCCAACTAGCCTTTCATTCGGAAACGTGATGTGTTTTCGAAAACTCAAAACAGTACTTCATGACTATTTACTAATATTTGATCTTTTTTCTTTTGATAAACGTCATTTTCCACACAGTGGCTTGTTAAGTGAAAGTTTTTCTATTCCGTTCACACTTGTGGAGACCCACAACTTGTTAGACAGCGAACAATATGATTTCAGAAAAGGTGTATCTTGTACAACAAACCTCCTTATAACAAGGTAACAATAGATGAAAGCTCTAGACAACGGAAAATTAGTGAAAGTTGACTATATATACTTTGGCAAAGCATTTGACAAGGTGCTAACAAATAGATTGCTATTGGAGCTAAAAAATCCTGAAGTTGCCGGATCTCCCCTGAGATGGCGTGAGGATTTCCTAGTAGGCCGTAGACAGAAAGTATGAAAGAGTAGAAGAACCAAGAACGAACAAAATACCAGTGGCACACAGGTTTTCACATCGAGTCATCAATTCTTTGAACCTGTCGGCAATTTCAACTGACCCATCCAGGAGAAGACTGGACACTCACAGAAGCATACTATAAAGTGAATAACATAGATCGTAGGCTTTTTGTCTTGAATACACAAATCTTATTCTGAATAAAGCATTCGAATCATCTATAGGCGGAGGGATATTTGAGAATTGCGTTACTCAAATATGAGTGAAGATAAGTCGGACGATGTTTTGCGACATTTTATCAAACATACTGAGAAATCAAATGTAAGAAGGTCGATCATTGTTAAAGCAACAAAGAGAAAAGCGTCCATGATTGCACTAGCCGCATTCGGTTTTGCTTGTGCAAGTTGTATCCTTTAATTTTGATAAGACATACGCAAAAGTTAGTTGTAATTGTCTGTCTTTATCACTAATAAAGAAACCAGTTGCGTATTTTTTGTAAAGGTCAAAAAATTTGGTGCTTAAGAGCTAGACTTCTCTCACAGAACTCATCGAGACGTAAAATCGTTCCAGTCATTTACTAAAACAACAGTTACAGTCATTTAATGTTAAATATACGTACAGTGGAAAGTTGACAAAATAAATACAAGTAATATTAAAAACTTTACAAAGTAAGCTTGTCAGTCATATCTCCACAACACCAAGCATCCCAAAAACGTGCACCTATTCATGGGTTATCCGTGATCTCGTAAAATTTTATGCTACGGTATTGCTTAAATGGAGATAAAGTGTCTGCATTAGTGACGTTACTCCTTATAGGAAGTAATATTTCAGGCGATAGTGTCTAATAAACTATTTCCATTTTTGCAGACATTGTCGTGTTTACTAATGAACGTGAATCTCACTCTATCGCGTAACTCGAATTTAAAATATTCAGATAAAACCACATGTGAAGTCCGATTTTCAGACGCATATATGTATATATATCACGGTTAGTAATGGACCTGATGAACATCAATTTTTATGCTTTTAGCACCGTTTCAAGTATATGGATTATTGTCAACCCTAGCCATTGGTTGTATTTCAGGCTTTTCACAGTCAGATAATCCCTGTAACGTTTTCGAGCTCCTGCCGCTAAGAAAATACGTTTTGGACAATATTTGAGCACTTCAGTCAGGCTTAAGATATTCACCAACCTAAAATGGAACCTACGTCGGGCTTCCCAGTTTCTTTTTGGAGAAAATAAAGTGCTGGTAAGGCCATCTCAGGCGATGGGTTTTTCTCAGTACAACCCTTCTTGGAATTGGTCTACAGGAGCTGAAACCATTTGTTGATGGTTCGATAGTAATGTCGTTAGTCATATAATACGCGCGTCATTCTGGCCTTATAAGCTTGCTTGGAGCGCAATCGTGAATATTGTGTTCCAAAAGACAATAGAAAACGAGATTATGTCAAATACGAATTTATTAAGTACTTTATTAACTGGTTATTTCACCTCTAGTCCTTCTGTGATAGGCTAAACAGGTTTAGTATAGCTAGTCTCTCGTAATGCAGTAAACACAATATTCTGACAATCAGTGTAGTTGTTTCCTTAACGTTTTGAACAGCTTGCTATCTTTTCTAAAGAGGACGAGATGATTCGTACGGAATACTCGCGTTCTCTGAATAAATCCTGCATACAATGGAGTGATATATATAGTATTCATTAGTTCATTTATTATTAGCACATATGTAGGTTTGCAACTAGATCGCTAGTAGTGGGTATTTGTATAATCAATATTTTGCTTAACTCCTTAAAGAGCATTTAGATGTTTACTCTTTGTATGCTATAAACCGAAACCGAGAGCTTGGTGCTTCATTCGATCAACAGCCTTCATATACCTCTTCAGAGTGATTTAGCGAGCTTTAATATCATTTGATGCTAATGTGTACTCGGGAAGTTATCTATATTTGTACCTCATCCTTAGTAATCGGTTAAATATACATATATTCATATATATTCGATCGTTATTCTTCCTGTGTTTACTGTCTCCGTTGCTTCATATCAAACATTTATGGTCATTTAAGAGTGGGCTTAGAATAATTCTAAGACGGAGAAAACGTGTGGCATCCTCAAATAGTTTTCTAGTCGTAATGATGATGCGAGGGCTTTGTATTCATTAATGAGTGTAAGAGAACCTTGAATTGTGAAGTTATCTAGGCTATATTTATATCAACCGTTTTAACGCTAATAGATTTGACTAGAACGTACATGTTTATAAAGTTGGTGACGCAGACGATTTGTCCTAAGGGCTGATAACTCAAAAAATTCCAGGCTGGTATACAAGTTACATGTAGTGACTCATAAACCAACTTGTGTTCATTTTCATCCATTTCCAGTACATTCTAATTATATTTAGCTGCATATATATAAGGCATTTGTGTGCAGAGTATCTGTTTTCTGACGGAATTTATAAAACATTTTTTGGAGAAACATTTCATTGCAATTTTTCGGGATATCATGAAGCAGTTCTATTACTCAACTAGTGCATGTCGACGCAAGAAAAGAGCCTTTGGCTGTCATATTTGTTGACGCTCCTTAAGTATGCCACAATGGAAGATCATTCGTATCAATTGAGAACGCATTGATTAATGGCCAAGTATGTTCAATTTGTTTAGTGATTTGTTATGTAGGATTAAAATGAATTAAAACACCAGTTTAATATGGTCGCTAGGACTTATTCTATACAAAAGAAATAAAAAACTTCTTTGTTATTTTTAGTCGTTAGGTAAGTTCTCAACACAGTATTTTGTGTGTTACTCGTGTTAAGTAAGGAGTATAATATTCTATGTCGTTAACTTCCTATCTGGTTTGTACTGATTGACAGATTCACTACGTTGTTAGGTGTATGATGATGTATTAAGTTGAGATCCAGTAACTTTAAAATTGTAAGTTCCGTGACCAGTCGTAACGGAGAAGCGGTCGAGTGTTAGTGAAAATTTGAAATATTTAGTGTGGTATGTTTTAATTGTATTTTTATACCTTTATGCCTTTAGTGATTTTTATTTCCCTTCCTTTTTGTCGGTTTAACTCACTACCAACTTAGATTATTCATGGGAATCCTCTTCTGAATAATGATTCTGTAGTGTGTATAGAACATTTGATTAATTTAAACTTTAGGCACGAAACTCAGTGTTCACTTATAATTTAAAGCAATTAATCAGGAAGACGAAAATGTTATGCATTTTCATACGTTTCTAACAGTCTGATCACATACTTTTCAAAGCTCTTATATACGAAAACTGATGAAGTTTGAAGGGGATAATTGGGAATAAAAGAGAAAAGAAAATAATACAATATAGAAAGCATTGGCAGTTAACATACTACCCTAGACCATAAAATGCTTTGAAAATTACCAGAGGAAATTTAAGGTTACAACCACTTGTTTTTTTTGTATATAGAGATTTTTGTTGGCGATAAGGACTTCTAGAAACCTAAGGATCCACTCTTGACGTTTCAGAAGCTATGTTAAGGTCAGTCCTATGACCCATTCCAATTGCTTGTTCTGATGGCGATGAACCTGGTTCCCTACCGCTGCTGTTCATCGGAGCGTTTGACACACATAACAATAAAAATAAGTTCAAACTTGTTTTGATTACTTTCATTTTACGTAGATTATGTGGACAAATTTCGTGTTTATAGTATGATAATCTTGCAAACAAATTAACCGTGCGATTCCAGTAGAACAGAAGGTGTAAACAAGCCATAAAATCGGATATAACAAACGCCTATCGACACCTTGACTTTTTTGGTCTGCTTTGTTCAATTTTATTTTGTATTGTGGCTATAAATTGACTGATCTTCATTTTTGTTTAAAACATTCAGTGTAAACGTGCCAGATTCATATGATTAAATTCTAACGGTTTTTAAGCCTTACCAGTCAATTAGCAAAACTGAATATCATAACTTTCAGTTTGGGCTATAGAGATCGTTGAATTTCATTGAAATCATGAACCGATCAGTGTTAGACCACCATTGAGGACCTGGAAGTACTGGACGGTCATTTCATCCTAATGTGGGACTCCTTGGAAATGTGCCCCCATGATCCTGCACGCGGAATTTAAGCCCAGGAACTCCGCTCTCGCTCTGGAAGCCTTGGTTATACGGAAGTTGAAACCCCCTTTATGTGTTCAAAAACAATTTGTCCTTACACTTAACCTACCATGGTAATACTGATTTATTATGCAGAGTGGTAATCACATTTGTTTTTGTGTACTTTAATATTTTTCCTTTGTTATGACTTACCCTTAACCTGTCTGGTTGACCTTTTAATTTTCATATGTAAATGTTCTTAACAAGTATATATGTGATCAGATTGTTCGGAATGTATTGCGCAAATATATCACATAATTTTGATAAATTTCGTCTTATCATTGCATTATCAAAATACTGTGTATGTTGATCAAAGATAAAAGTTGAATCTTTCAATATTGAAATTTATATTTGTGATAAGATGCTAGGAACACTGTTGATAAACTTTTATTACATTAAACAACTTATTGTTTCCAAGTTTAATTGTTGATGGACTATATCGGTTTGTTTAAAGACCAGTATTAATATAAAGTTTGAAAATATTAGCGAGCTGTTTTGTAGTTGGCGATGAAATCATTCGACTAAGCCATTTTCTGCTGGGTGGTTGGTTGTTTTAATCTGATTCGCTCCTAAACGTCTGGTGAACGGAAGTAGAACAGATTAAAACTGTGGTTCGTGGTAATGGTTAGAAGCACTCCGTAGTTTGATAACCGATGGTCAAGGAACATTGATGCTATTGACTCCATTGATGTATCTTCGGTAAGGCATGTTATTGTCCATCTGGTAAGCCTATCCACAGCAGTAAGGATATGTGTGAAAGAATTCGGTGGTGGAAGAGGAACAACGATATTCACATGTACGTGTTGAAAGCCTCCATCAGGTTATGGAAACGCTCCAAAAGGGCTGACTGTATGTCGTTGACATTGCACGCAGTTTCGTGTCCACCTTATAACACCCGAGTAAGTTTTTGGCCAGACAAAACGTTCTGTAATGAGTTTTGCTGTAGCTCAAATCCCAGGATGTGGAAGTTAGTGTAGTTGCTGAAATACACATCACCAAAAAGCTCTAAGGACAAAAGGGCAGTTGAAACATCGCAGATAGTATTTCAGTCGGAGAAAATAATGGGTATAGATTTGAGAACCAAGTCAGACTTCTCTTTGCAGGTTTTTAAACCTGCATTGTCTTATTCATTATTTATTTATTTGAACACATGAATATTAGTACAAGAGAGCGCCAATATATATGCGCCACACAAAACAATGAGAATTCGAAGAGAAATAGAAAAAAAAAGCTAAGGAGCGCAAAAAAGAGAACAATAACGAAGAGATTGATGTAAGGTAGTATGGTAGAAATGAGGGAACGGAAAGGTACAATCAGAAGAAATCTTTCAGGTAAGGGAGACACAACCACTTTTTATGAAGAAAGTAAAAGAAGGTTACAGCAGGATCGCCACTGGCTTCTATTCTGAGCCATATCTGATAACGTCTCTAGCCACTGTGTAGCACCATCTCTCAGACCCCAACCAGGGAGTCGTGAAGGACCGACAGAAGCCAGTCCTTTGCAGCCTTCTTTCATGCCACGACACCATGTCATATACTGACCACCTCCGCTTTTTCCAACCAGTCCGAGTCGGCAAATAATGCACGACGTGGAATTCTCTGGGACGACATTCGTAGAACATGTCCAAGCCACCGAAGTCGGTGTTTCAAGATAGTGACACCAATTGAATTATCATCTCTGTGCCCGGACACACGATGCCGAACCTCTGCATTACTGACATGGTGTTGCCACTGAATGTCAGCAATCCTTCGGAGACAGCGATGATCGAACACAGAGAGTCGTCTAACGTCCTCAACTCGGAGAGGCCAGGTTTCACAAACATAGAGCAAAACTGCTCTCACCGACGCGTTGTAGATCCGACCTTTTACAGCCAGACTAACATCACGAAGGCGCCAAAGGTGGCCCAGATTGGCATAAGCCGCTCTGGCTTTCACTATACGTGCATTGATCTCATCACTCACACCACCACCAGCGCTTATGCAGCTACCCAGATACACGAACTTCTCGACTACGTCTATCTGTTCACCATCCAGGGTGAGTACAGGATTGGAATCCTGCCAGTCTTGTAGAAGTACTTTGCACTTCGAAGGTGCAAAGCATTGTGTAGTTGTAATTTAGTTATAGTTTCTAAATTGATATCTTGTTTCTGTGCCAGCTTATGGATGTCCTTTCGAGATGAAGCATCAGCTACGATATTGGAGTGCCCTTTGATGAACTGGATGTCGGCTATAAATTGTGAGATGTAATCCAATTGTCTCATTTCATGTGGTGAATGACGATCATGTGACCTGTTCAAGGAATAACATATTACATACACATAGTTCCCTTTATCATTTTGAAAAGAGCAAGAACAAAGATTCTAGCAGAATAGCATGAATTCATTTTATTTCGTAGGTTCTCGTCAGATGCTTACAACCTGTGATATCTAAAAATCATAATTGCATAATGGATTTAAATTGCTTACAGAATATTGTAAATATATACCTAATGTGAAAGAATATTCTACAACATTAATTGTGACAACAGTTCAAAAATGAGTTAGAAACAATTGATTACATAGTGAATAAACATTGATAGGAATATAGTGATTAGAGTTCAGTTGGAAGATTATTAATTTGAAAGATAGTTGAAAAAAGAAATTAGAATAAATGATGTAATAAATTTAACAGAAAAAAGGGGAAAAAATTTTTTAAGGTTCAGTGAAGGAATATTTGTCACCAGGGTAAGGAAAGATTAACCACCGTCTCCTTTTGAATACATAGGTCAGGTTTTTGTCGCCTGATGGCAATGGCTTCAGCAAACTTCAGAAGACTGGAGTTTGGCTGCTTACTAATCACCCTAAATGATTGTAAGGTATCTACCTGATGTCCTGTATCAAGGAGATGTTTGGTGATCGCACTGTTCAGAGTCTTTCTTTCCCTTGTCCTAAGACCTTTTGGAACATGTTCAAAGGATCTAAGATATGCTCTCCTTTCAGTTCGGCCGATGTAGCTGCTTTGGCAGGTACACGTAAATTTATAAATACAGTTGGCGGTAACATGAAAGGGTTGCTTGTCGATCTTTGATTGGGTTATTGAACATGTTGTTTTATAGAGAATTAAAAGTTTAGCAGCCGGATAAGTTCTGGCTAGCGCTGTATTCAGTCTCTTGTTGATAATTTGTGCGACGTCATCACTTTTAAAGTTAAGATTTATATATACTGGTTTTTTATTGACCATAGTTATTTCCGTCTTCTTTTCCTTGGGCCTTTTATATTTGTCAATAAATTTTTGTGGATAAAAATTGTCTTTTAGGCATTTTTCTACGTTCATTAATTCCTCTTCCAGTTTGTCGGTGGTGCATATCTTTTCTGCCCTGTAAAATAGTGTTTTAACCAACGCCTTCTTGTAACTAATTGGACAAAAACTATTGAAATTCAGGTAGAGGCCATTCCAATTACTTTTTCTGTAAATTGAACGTTGAACTGTCTCGTCTCCCCTGCGTTTGATGGCAACATCAAGAAAGTGGAACATATCGTTCTGTTCGTGCTCCATAGTAAAATGTATGTTATTATGAGCGTTATTGAGGAGTTTGAGCAGGCGGATTGCATGTTGTTTATTATTACAGATAATAAATGTGTCGTCCACATATCTTGAGTATTCCGTTGTTTCACTAATTGCCTGTTTAAGTATCGTGTTCTCAAGATACCCCATAAAAATATCTGCCATAATTGGACCTAGTGGACTACCCATTGCTACGCCATCGACTTGGCGATATATGGTGTTGTTAAATTGGAATTGAACATCTGTTGTACATATTAGTAGTAGTTTTTTGAATTCTGGGGCTGGTAAAGGTAGGAGATCTTCATTCTGACAAATTATATCAATAGTTTCAAAAAGTGGTATATTGATGAACAAGGATGTTACATCAAAAGAGACCATGAAATTGTCGTTAACATTCGTATGATTTAGTCTTTCAGCAAACTGGAATGAATCTCTTAACGTATATGTTGCTAATCTACGACGAACCGGTTCTAGTTTTTCTGCTAACCAGCGTGCGACTTTATGGTATGGTGAGTTGATCATTGATAGGATAGGTCTAAGAGGAACATCATGTTTGTGAACTTTTGGTAAGCCATACATATGAGGTAGACGTGAACCACGTGGTTTTAGATCGTTGTAAGTAGAATTATCAATCATTTTCGTTTTTAGGAGTTCTCTAAGCATGCCTGTGATTCGTTTTTCTGTTGAATCAGTCAAATCTTTTTGGGATTTATCTACTTTGAACCTCCGTTGGTCGTTGAGGATTGACTTCATCTTAGTGACATAATCAGCTGTATTCAA